AGCAGGGACATATGAGCTACTGTGTAAACCTTCTTCCTACTTATTTTTGGTAGCTGTAGATTCATTATATTATTATTTTTTCTGAATTATGACATTGCTGCATTGCAATCAACAGCTACATATGTTTCTCTTGTATTGAGATGTAATCATGTGTCCAAGTGATTTTCAAGAAATTAAACTTTCTTAGTAATATGGTTTCTATAAGACATTAATTGGGTTGAAAGTTTTACATCGACTAAAGATAAGATCAATTCAGAGTATATAAGTTACTGTAAACCTTATCTTATAAGCCAGTTTGGTAGGATTAAGTTAGATTTAAAGTTTACTAGTACCAAAAACTATAATTTAGAAAAGGTATTGTTTGACACTTCTTTCCAATTTATGTACACTTTAGAATTGGTTTTATATTAAAATATTATATATAATATAATAAAAATCATTATAAACAAAATATTACAATAAAATAATATTATATGAAGTTTAAGAGAAAATTAAATGTCAAAGTAATATCACCTATAATTCGATACTAAAATATTAAGTAGATTATAGTTTTCCTTTTCAGGATTCTCTTTCTGTGCTTATCTATATTGCAGATGGCTTCTACACTCTTTGCACAAAGTTTGACTACCTATTACCAGTCATAATCATCTTTGTTTATAAAAAACATGATTAGTTTTTAAGCACGTATATATATAGTCATTCTACTCATGTACTAAGTATTGTTAATAGTTTTGTTCACAATAATGTCATGATGTAATGTTAATCATGATGTAGAAGTAAAAATTCAACCTCTTTATTATATATTAACCATCTTAATCTATCTAGGCATAATTCAACCACTCAATTCATCCCAGTTATGAAACAAAAATGAATGGATTGGTGTGTTTGAATCATCATTTTTTTTTTCTTAATGAATATATATTATTAAAGAATCATCTAATATATTTTAATAATTATGAAGCATCTAAATCCAAATTCTAAACTTCGTAGGCCTAAGCATAGATTTTTAAGCTGCAAGTTCTGAATTTTTTCCGTGTTTGGATGTAAAAATGTGTGTAATTTATATTGAATTTCATTTTATGAGATTAAATATGTTTAGTCTTTAAAACTTATAAAATTAAAATTTATGTCTGTTACAAACTTAAAATTTTTTCGAGTTTGTTAAATAACATCTTATAAATGATATTGAAGTAGAGACACGTGAAAGAGTTTAAACAACTTAAATGTATGTCCGAAATACATTCGACACAAAAAAATTAATTTAATTGGATGAAAAATTAAGTTAATTGAAATAAAAAGGTATCAAAGTTTAAAACAAAGAGGAATTGTAATTTTACATTATATTTAATAAATTAAAAACATATTTATCTTTCTTATATAAAAAAATTAGATAGATGAATTAGATATCCACGAAAATAGAAGTAAAATTTGTTATATTAATTAGATTTTGTAATAGATGATTGACAAACAACATATAGTGGTTTCTTAACCTATTCATAATTAGGTCAAAATTGATCTAATCCACACCTGCATTCACCAATTCAGCAATAATCATTCAAATTCAAACCAGGTAGCCATTACTGAGTTCACAGCAAAAACTAGTTATGTGATCTTGAACTCCATTATCCAGAGCTACAGCATGACATAGGATTCCCATACCCGTTGATGAAGCCAAAAATATTAATGTTACATGCAGTGTTCGTAAAGGTAACGGCACCAGCACTAGGAAGCAAGATGCATGTGTGTAGATAGTATAATATTTACAATTAAAAAGCAAGTAAGAAGGAAAATTGTTATAAATGGTTGAACACAGATCGGAAGCCATAGGAACAGTGAAGGGGTTTAAAGAGGGTAAGTGTTATTTTGATTTGGTTCATTCATTACACTTCGTCTGCGTGGTTGACCAGGTATCTGTGTAGCTGAGAGTGTGACTTTTTTTCATGTGCAATATTGAAGGTTGCGTGGGAATCCCTTTGGTGAATTTTGTGACTGTGAAACAAAGCCTTCCAGATCCCGGTTTTGCACCTATTTTCTTATCACCTTTTATGTCACCGAGACCTAGAATTCTGTATTCTATGTTGGATCAGCACGTGTATAAGCCACGGACTTTCAGGAATTTTGCTTTCTCTTTTATATATATATATATATATACACACACCCTTTTGTTTTTCAAATTCCTTTAATAATTCTTCTCATGAGCTTGTTCAAATAATACAATGATAAACCCTATTCCATGCCTGTGACCCCACACAAGAATTTCAGAAATAAAAAACTTCAGCAATCTCATCTTGTCTCGAAGAGAAATTTCACAGAATAACTTGAACATACTTGCAGTATTCTGATTATGGTTGAACTAAGAGTTTTGGTACACTACAAAGTGATTGTGCATTAATATATGTCAATGAAATTAGAAGAAGTATGAAAATTCCACATGACCCACTTTGAAGATATTGGGAATAAGTGGTTCACAGGACCAAGGATTTGTCTCTGTATGTTATAAAAAATGATGACATTTGTTTGTATAGAGAGAATTTTGATGCATTTCACCACATATTTTCTGCTTCATTTCGGATTCATATACATATGCTAAACAAACTGTGTTGTTAATGGTTAACGTGATGTGTGTAATAGTTAGATGCTGTCAGCATGTATGACAAAAGGCAATACACATTGGATCAGAAATTTGAAGACAAAGGTGTGGTCAAGAACATGTTGTCTTGTCCTTGTATTATGTACTAGCAAACAAATGTGGTCTCACGTAACCACCAAAGTTTGCCATCTTTCTCAATGGAACATGATAATTTAAATATATATTGTATGAAAGAACCAGAAAATAAGCAAATGTAGAAGTTAAAATAGCAATAATTAGGACAAAATATTATGGCAAGAAAATCCATGGAAGTTGTAGGGCTTAAATGGTCATTTTCGTTTAGCTTGCTTTAGCTTAATTAACTCTTGTTTTTATTACCACCTAGGATCCAGAATACTGATGCACCATCCATAGGTAGCCATTGCTGCATCCCAATAACCCAAAAGATTTAAATTGCTATTAATTAATCAATCAATCAATTAACTAATATTGCGTATGCTCATAATAACGACTATCTGTACAAATTGTATGACTTAGAACTCCTAAGTTTGATACTTTACACTGAATTTGAGGCAAATTCTTCACTTTTATGGACATGATTCAAGGATAGCCACTGGATCCTCATCCTTTGATTAGTTCACTGCAGCTTTACAAACTAATTACAATCATAATTAAGTAACTTTATTTTTTATATACTATTAAGTATTTCTTAATCATATCCTTAACCGAACGTATGTTAGATTACTATGTCAATTTTTATTTAGTCTATCCTTATTTAGTCGATCCTTATTTAGTCAGTAAAATATCACACAAAATACTTATTTATAATTGTTTATGATTAATTATAATAATTCAGAAAGTAACTTGTATTTGGATTAATGTTTTGTTCATTAATTATTATTTTTATTGCTTGTTGATGTATAGATTGACTTGAATGTTTGAGTGTTTTTTTTAAAAACGGTTACCCACAAAAAGATGAATATTTTGGAGATTGAAGATTGTAGATTTTAAAGGTTTGAAGTGTTCTTAAAATCTTGACAGAATAGATATTTGATATATATATATATATATATATATATATATATGTTTGTGTGTGTGTGTGTATAGATTGATAGACATAACATAAACTGGCTTGGTAACCAGCCGAAAAAGATGCACACGATCATTTTGAATCATGATATTGAAAAATAATAGCATTTCTTTATAACAATAAAATGCCAAACTATAGTCTTGTAAGAATAACTATTATATCATTTAATAACATTAAGGTGCATGTATTAGGAATATTGGAATGAGCAGAAAATGCCCTCTATCTGCATCATTCTTCTTTGACTTTGACTAGTCCGCGTGATTGAATTTGAAGACAAATTCATTTTCATCTCGTAATTAAATGGACCCAAAAGATATATAAAACAAAATACTTGTGTTTTACATTTGCACCATATAATATATATATATATATATATATATATATACACACACACACACAATAAGAGAGTGAGGAAAAAACCAAAGAAGTTACTGTCATTAGATATAGTAATTGATAGTTAAGAAGATTTTCTTCATTGTAATGAGGCGAAACTTGGGAGAAGGTCTCCCATTCAACGAACATTTACCAAAAGCCTATTTTTGTATATTATTCTTACCCATACAATGCAATGCATATATCTGCATATTGAAAACAAAATAAATTACCCATTTGATAGTTTATAACATAACAAGAGGCTTCAAGAACAAGCTCTATAGCCTTCTAGCATTTTATTTATGTAACTTTCTGATATCATCATATCATCATAACACAGCTAGCTCAATGTATACCACTTAATAATTTAATCTTCATTTTGCTTATGCTAAATATTTATGAATGAATAAAATATATTTTTTATATATTTCTGTGCCCATTCTTGGTTGTCAGGCCTTATTTGTGAAGCTAGCATTTGCATTGATCTTATCATCTTTCTCTCTCTCCCTCTCTCTCTCTCTCTCTCTCTCTCTCTCTCATTCTCTCTTAAAACCCACGTCCGTGCCCTTGAAGCTAAGAAACAGTGCAACCAAAGACTCCTCCAAGCTGTCTGGTTTCCTGAGTAGTTCTTTGTCTGCTTTCCTTTGTCCTTTGAGAGGGTTTCATCTTGCGTACCACAAAAGGTTTGTATGCTTCTTTTCTGTTTCTTTTGGCATCACTATTCCTTGTGTGTCATGAAACCTTTAGCTTTATTAATTAGCTGTTTTTCCTTTTGTTTCGTTTTCTCAGGTCATCTTTTGTTTGTGCCTTTGTTGCATAATTTCAGAAACCCTCTTTCGATCTTTTATCAGTGCTTGATTATACCTCTTGACCCTTGCTTAATTCACAAACGTTTCTTTCAGACATCTAGCTCTCGTTTTAGTTAGGTTAGTTTGAAAACATTTTTGCTTGTGTGTTTCAAAATGAAAATTTTCAGAGAGAAGCAACGAGTTGGGTCTTCACTGGTTCCTTTAATGTCATTCCACTTAGTTATCAGTTAAAGGAGTTATGTTAAATTGAGAGCTAATATTGTTTTTGAGATATATAATTGCATACAAAACAATATCCAGAAGGTTTATTCCATTTTCCTTCTTTTTCTCTTTTTCTCTTTTTCATTTTCTTCTTGGAACTATGCCTAATCCTTTCCATGCACGTAACCCGATGTCAGTTAATTCTTTTCTGTTAATTTTTCAAACGAATCAATGAATATCAGCATACACATTCCTATCTTACTGCTGTTTCTAAGGAACTGTGTTGTAGCTAATGTATACACACATGGTGATATGGCTACAGGGAACGAAGCATGGACAGAAAAGAGTTGTTTTTTGTTACTGTTCTCATAATCTCTAAGCAGTTCAACATCATGGAATATGTAAAAGGTCTAGATATTCTAAAATTGAAATTTCTCAATAATCAGAGACATACATGGTCAGAAAAGTTAACTAGCTTTTCTTATAGATTCTTCTTAGGGTTTATACTCAGATTTAAATTCCTCGTGTCAGGAAATGTCTCGTATATGCAATACACCCATTAGTTTCATTCTATATAGAAATTTTTCATCGTATTATTATTATTCTACTTTGTCTTTGGTTTTGATCTAAAGAACTACCTAGGGTTGTAGCTAAACAGTGATCTTGGACAATATTATATAATTTTTTGAGTTCCTCCTTCTAAATTTTATTTATTTTTTCAATTTATATTCATAAAGTACCTTTTTGACAATGAAGACGAAGAACTTACGTGATCTCGAGATTATCATTCTTTGGCCATCATTTTTAAATTTCTACATCATGGACTACTGGTAGTTCCTACCTTCTTGAGATTTTGTTTTTTTTTTGTTTTTGAGAATAAACAGTTTCATCTATTCCTTTATCAGCCACGTACCCCTTATTCAACAAATGTGTGTAATTTTATATCATATTTAATTGTTTATCTTCTTAATACAAAGTGTTCTTTCTCTTTTTCTTTTGCATTTAGCAGAGTCAAAACCCTGCAGACAGTACAAAATGATGCCAAGCAATGGACAGTTAACAGTTCCTCCTGGCTTCAGGTTCCACCCTACCGATGAAGAGCTTCTCTACTATTACCTGAGGAAGAAAGTTTCTTATGAAGCCATTGACCTTGATGTCATAAGAGAAGTGGATCTCAACAAACTTGAGCCTTGGGACCTCAAAGGTACACAGCATATATATATATATATACTTCATGACACATCATGTATATGATTGATGCAACCAATTCAAGGGATATATAGCTGATCTATACTTTATAAATAATATTCTTAAATTAGTTCAGATGAAAACCATTCATATATCCTTGTCTTTGTACTGTTATTCTATCTAGGGTTTTATTGTATCGTGGCAAGTAAACAAAAGAACTTTTGAACTATGAAATTTATTGTACTTTTTGAGTTTTTTGCAACATGAACTAGGTAACATATAGATGTTTCTTTGCATGCAGACAAATGTAGGATTGGGTCAGGGCCTCAGAATGAGTGGTACTTCTTCAGCCACAAGGATAAGAAATACCCAACAGGAACAAGAACAAATCGAGCAACTACAGCAGGTTTTTGGAAAGCAACTGGAAGAGACAAATCCATATACCACACTAATTCCAAGAGGATTGGCATGAGGAAAACCCTAGTTTTCTACACTGGTCGTGCTCCTCACGGCCAGAAGACTGATTGGATCATGCATGAGTATCGCCTTGATGAAGATGATGCGGATGTTCAGGTGAGAAAACTACACATTATGATAAGAAACTGCAATCGGTGTTTTATATATGAAAGATTATTTCATAACCATGATAAATAACAGTTTATAAGAAGGCCGTGAAGAACTTTTACAGACGAGAAGAAGCTTTTCTAAGAACTCTTTCGAACATCCTTAAGTTATTGATTTGAAACAAATTCCAACGAATGAAACTGTCGAAAATATTTGTGAAGGAGAAGACATACTTCAAATAACGAGATCTATGGATCCAACTTACTTTCCAGATATAATGACAAAGTTGTGATGTATTTCTAGCAGGAAGATGGATGGGTGGTATGCAGGGTTTTCAAAAAGAAAAACCAAAATCGAGGTTTCCAGCAAGAAATTGAAGAAGAAGAGAACTTAACCCACATGAGAACAAGTGGTCCTTGCCATGTTCTGGAGCCAAAACATCATATGCAAGGAGGATTATATGACTACAACTTTGATGGCACAATGCAGCTTCCACAGTTGTTCAGTCCAGAATCAGCTGTTGCACCAAGCAGTAGTTGCTTGGGCACATCCATGAATGCCATGGACATCCTTGAGTGCTCTCAAAACTTGTTGAGGCTCACCACTAGTGGCTGTGGACTGAATCTTATGCAACAACAGGGAGAGAGGTTCAGTGGTGATTGGTCATTCTTGGACAAGCTACTAGCATCTCACCATGCCATGGATCATCAGCATCATCCACAAAGCAAATGTAACCCTCCCACTCACCAAGCTGCAACTTCTGTTGCCACTTCAGCTCAGAAATTCCCATTCCATTATCTTGGCTGTGACACCCATGATATCATGAAATTTTCCAAGTAGGGTATTTCATTTCATTCATATTGTCATACTTAATGTGATGAGGTAAGAAATATTTGGTTCCTAAGTATGTGTAATATGTATCATCTTGTTAGATACTCATTGAGATTCCACTCATTAATTTAGTTATTTCTTGAGTATAAATTATATATATCTCTATCTATATATGATCTTCTCTACGATAATTAGATTTCAAGGTTTTCTGTCAATATAATTTAAATATTTTTAACCAAAAATTAAACTCGACTCTAAGTTTTTTCCTTTTAAATCAGTAATATTTTGGATTATGAATTTGTTTTTAGATTTTATAAATTTAGGGGAACGTGGTTTATTTAAGTGTTTAATTATTTGTTATAAGAACAAAAACTAAATACCTTTACAATTATTAAAATTTCATCGTTTTTATTAAAAATATGACTAAAACTTAACCATTTTTGTTATTTCATAAACAAGAGTTTCAACATAAAACTACAGGAACCAAAGGAAATAGTAAATATTGATTAAAATGACTTGATGGAAGGTGTAATGGTGGTAATAATGCATATAAATTCAAGACAATTTAAAAGGAAAATATGAAAGAATTAAAAAAATGTAAATTGCATAATTATGAATGATCAAAATCAAAAAATGATTTGGAAATCAAATTTAAAGAAAATTAAATCTATTCGCTTTACTCTCTCTCTCTCTCTCTCTCTTCTCTCTATTTCATAAATCTAAGATGTATAAAGGGAGATTAGTCATAGTGTTTATAGGATTTAAGACTTTGGGATGCATAATAGGATACACTCTTTAACCATCATGCAATAACTTGTATTTTGTACATGGGTTATGATTTCTCAAGTGCCCTTTTATATTTATATCACTCTTTTTTGTCGATAAAAAAAAAATCTGAGAGAGAGAGAAAATTCTTGCTTAGTGAGAGAGAACCTTACATATTTTGTAAAGAAAAAAAAATAAAAGATATTGAATGTGAAGACATTTACATTAGTATTTGTTATATTTAAATTTAATTTTAGATTAAGACTTACCATCCATATTCTAATTTTAGAGACACAAATTGTAAGATTAGTATCGACTATGTTTAGGTAAACTTAAATAAATACAAAAAACATTTTATTATATTTGGTTAGATTAATTTTAATAAAAATAAATAAAAAGTAATGTCTATTTAGATAATACTAATTTAAATAAATATAAATATTGAAAATGAATAAAACTATCATTAACTACATCAATTTGAACAAATATTAAAAACAAATTAGACTAACATAAAATAAAGATAAATATTAAAATTAAATAAAATTAATGCTGATTATAGTGATGTTGTGTTTAATAAATATTAAAAACACATCATTTGAACATTAATAATATCGACGTTAATTGAAATAAATGGTAAAAATAAATTAAACCAATATAAATTAAATGGATACTAACTTATATAAATATAAATACTAAAATCAAATAAAATTATTATGAGTTAACTCGACACTAACTTTAATATATTCAATTTTATTATTATTTTAATTCTAGTTTTATGTTAGAGTTGTCTGAACCTAATTTATACTTGCTCCCGTTTTCATGTAAGTGAAAATAATTTGACAAATATTTTAATATTGTCATAGTGATGGAAAATTAATTTATTATATACGTTATACAATTTTGGCGACGAACTATTAGTCACAAAAACAATTAAAGATATTTCACACAAGTGGAAACAATACCTTTTGTGCATTTGAAAATAGTAATTAAAATGTGGAACTTTAGTTGCCTCACATTAGTATATTTACTGTTTTAATTAAAATTTTGCAATTGATTTAGTTGAGAAATACACATACATACATATGTTATTATTATCTAGTTGTGAAAAGTTATTACCTATGAGGGAAACAAAAATAGTAAGTCTTTTTTTTAACAGAAAAAAAAATATTATTAGTTGTTTATATATAACCAATGTAGGAAGTTATTATTTTGAATTCTTAAAAAAAGATACATGACATGTGTTTGTGAACTAACCAATATAATATAATATGTCATGTTTCTACATTAGTGATACTTACATCACATCCATAAAAGAAGCATAATATAAAAAATAATCAATTTAAGAATATCTTATTCTACTGGTTTGAGCATAATTAAGGTTTAGGTATCTTTATTATAACAACTAGGTAATTTTGTATTTTGGTTACCACCTCCTTTTCTTTGGATGAAGTGTAATATATAGATGGTGTTAATAAGGAAGCAACTTGTCTTGCTACTTGTATGGGCACCTTTTGTAATAAATTAGCTACTTTTGCAAGTTGTTTTTTTTTTTGGATGTTCAAACAACTCTTTATGCTCAAAATTAACACAAAAAATAAAAAAAAAGTTAAAAGAAACTTTAGTATGGTATAATGAAGGGTTTAAGGGGATAATGTTATAATACTGATAAAAGCTACTTGTAGCTATAAGTTTTTTGTGCTTTAATAAGCAGAATATAGCTTTTCATATCGAAAGTTGACAGAGTGTTAAAAAAAGACAAAAAAGAAAAAAAAATAAAAATAAAAATTATGATGCAGAAAATAACACATTGTACTGGATTTTGTGCTTATCTAATTGGAGAAATATGCACAGGTTTTAAGCACGCCATGAAAAACCAAATATATAATCGTACAATGAAGACGCGACGTTCATGAAATTGGGTGAGTCAGCGAGAACATTTTTCAAACATATAATCAATTTTAGAGAAAAAAACAAAATTGAAATGATTTGTACCACTCCTTTTCTGAATCCAATCTATTTGGTCCTAGCTAGTAGTGGCTCTTAGAGCTTTTGATTTTCTTCAGAAGAGTTAAGTGCCTTAGTACTTACATTTATATCCATTCAAACCTCTCCATCAACATCTTTATAAATAACAAAACGTGTAATACCAGAGTATCTCAAGATCATTATCGTCTATTATATATTTCTCATTTCAATATATCACTCATCTTCTAACATTAATTCATATAATTTTGTATCAATATAAAATATAATGTTGTTCCCATTAGGATGACATTCGCGCCCATACGTAGATAAAATCTACAACGAATAATTGTTATCCATAAATATTTACTATTTACGAAGTTAAGATAGTAAATATTTTAATATCTACGGATCGGATGCATGTATTATATTACTTGTTCGTAGGTATCTGTTATCTGTAAAAACTGTAAAAAATAAAAGTAATAATTTAATTTATATTTTATTTAAATAAATTTAATTTAAATTAAAATTAATTTATATTTTTTAGATTAAATTTAATTAAAATTAAATTTTAGTTTATATTTCATTTATATTAAATTTTATATATCTTTTTGTAATTATATTTTAAAAATATATAAAATATATATTTTTTTAATATTTAAGGGTATTCACGGTTGTTGCATATTTTAAAATATCTACATATCTACAGATTTTTTTTTGAAATGAATATCCGTGTGAGTAACGAACGGATTGATGGTAGAGTTTTAATTTTCAGGTCGGGTTGTGGGTAGACGTTATTCATACCTGACTCGACCTATTGTCATTCCTAGTTGCAATTATCACATCTTAAAATTTGTCTGAAGACAAATATACTTTAAATTCATCTTTCTTCAATTATTTAAGATGTAAGAACCAAACACTGATAAAAACTCCAATCTTCAAAATTTTGTATATAATTATTTATTTTAACGATCTTATCCTAAAATAATTTAAGTTGAAACAAAAACATTTGTATTAGATGGCTAATTATTATTTGTGATTCTTATAGTTTGTGGTCTAGCTAATTATTGGTATTGATCGTTAGAAACTAAGAAAATATAAGGGCAAAATAATTTTTTTTAAGATAAAATATGCATAACCTTTTCTTTTAAATCAAAATTGTCTACGGCAAAGTTGCTTAGGTCGCACGGAATATGAGGTATTGATTGGAGGGTAGGTTCAGGTTCTTCCACTAATAAAAATTAATAGCTGTATTTGTTGATAAAACAAATAATTCTTTTGATTACCTTTGGTTTTATGACAGTTTTATATTGTAATACAATATAAGTAAATTGTCTATTTTTACACTGATTAATAACATTAATTAAGTTTATTTAATCTTTTTAAATTAACAGTACAAAAAAAAACTTTATCATCATCCTTAATTATATTTACTAAAATTTGTTGAAGATGATACTTGGATTTAACATATACTTTTAAAATGATAATATTAAATATAATTAGAAAATTTCTTATATTAAAATTTCATTAACATTTTACATTTTTTTCCCTATATTTTATTTGAAAGCCATATTTAATTAACATAATTAATAACAATTTCTTAGCTGGCATGGGACCATTGCTTACGAAACTTTTAACTGAGATTTTTCTTTTATTTATAAGGAAAAGAATGTGTCAATGAATAAATAACAATTGAAGAAATGTAGAAAAGAAAGCAAATTGACGGGCATAAACTATATTATATGACCATTCATTTTGTAAAAAAAAAAAACTTTTAATTACGACCACTAATAGTGATAGTGTTCAAATTTGCATCTTCTTTCATGTTCTTTTATAATAGGAAATATTCTCTAATTTCATCGATCATAAATGTCTTAAGATCCATTTTTTTTAGTATGATCTTCTTTTACAATCATTTAAAGCTTTGTTAAGAAAACTGAGCACAAATACTAAAACAAGAAATAAGTTGTACATTTATATTCCTTTAATTTCAACAAAATTACATAATAAAACATTAAATCATACAACTTTTACTAGATATTACACTATTAGTAAATTTACATAGAAAATAATTGTATTGATCAACCTTTAAACATTAATTTGCATTGACTATTTTTATCAAAACTTCATTGAAACTAATCCATAACTAAATTATTTATATTTTAGTATATTTTAAAAATATACTATACATCGATATTTTATATATATATATATATATATACGATATAAATAATTCATATGAAAATAACTTTTTATATATATTTGTGTACAAAAGATAAATTCTATGGATAAATTATAAGAATCATTATTCAATAAAAGAGAAGTATTGCCGGATGTAATTTAATGAAAAATAATCGGTTTCTTCAATCTATATTTTTATATTTTGACACGTATTAACTTTAACATATATTTGTTGGAA